CTTCTTCCATTTGTTCCATAGGTTCGTGTTCTTCACAATCCATAGTATCAACCTTTTCTGAATTTTCCTCTTCATTATTAAATTGTAAATTTATAGACTTCCTTAAATCGCAATTATTCTGTATCTCAGAGGTTATTTGATCGACATTTCGTTGTACTGTGCGCGGACTTTGAGCGTGCACAGCTTGAATTTGAGCACGCAATTTTTGTTCATAAGGTTGATTCGCAGACAGCACAGCTTCGTTTGATTCTTCCTCTACAACTTTATATAATAATAAAAAATTTATTCAATCATAAATAAAAAAGTGGACTTTTCAAAATGTATATTTTATGTTAAATATGATAAGAAATAAAAGATGCTTATTATAATAACAAAGATATTATATATACTTGTAGGATATGTACTTGTATCCACAGATTGTTCCTCAATAGGAGCCATATCCTCCCTTGTTAATCCAAAAGTCAATCCAGTAGTTTTAGTATAATTGTTACTACTCGAACTGCTTGAAACATATTCCCGTGTGGATTCCAATATTACACTCAATTTATCATCACCCTCGACATTAGGTGCTTCTGCAATTCTATTCAACATAAATAAATATCAAACTATAAGCATATTTCAATATATATCTAAAAAATATATCTTTAAAATGTCAAAAGCAGATTTGATACATACGGCGGGATAGTATTCTGACTTGAAAATTGCAAATCATCTTTCATTCTATAAGATGGCTTGAAATGATTAGTCACTGGTGTAGAACTTGTCAATTGCGTGTTAAAGGCTTCCGTATAACATGTTTCGTTTATGGTCGAAAGCGGAGCTATACCTAGACTTTCGTCAATATACAGATTATTCTCGTCTAATTTGGGTATCATATTTTCTTCGAGCGGACCGTTATAATCCACAACGATAGCATTTTCTTTATCCTCCGCGCTCTCAAGATATTTGATGTCTTTACGATTCATCCCGGGCGATTTGATGTATGGTAATTCAGGTGGCATTCTGTACGGTTTGTTCGTTTCAATGTCCGAATCGTTATATGGCGAGAAATGTAGTTGTTTCTGTGGCTCTATATTCTGTTGCAGCATAGTCGGAGTTTCCATCGGAGTTGACGTCGGATATTGTTGATATCCGATGTCGGTAGGTAATATGTTGCCATAAACGGGATGCTGAATATGTTGCATATGTTGAGGCATATGTTGCGGCTGCTGAGAATGCAAGATATGTTGATTATGTGGAGACTGATGATGATGAATGTGTGGTTGATGATGTGACATTTGACCATGAGGCGCTTGCAAATGCTGCGGATGAGAGAGAGGCTGATGATGCACAGTGTGCATTTGCTGATGCGATGGAATCATTTGGTGCGGTTGTTGGTGATGTTGAGGGTGATGCTGCCGAGGATGATGCTGCGACTGTTGTACTTGATGATCATGATGTTGCTGCAAAATAAAATTTTATTGCTTTATAGAGATTCAAATCTACAAATATTTTGTTACTTTAATCTTATATTATTCGATATATATATAGTAGAAGAGTAAAGCATTATTTTACGAATGTTTTCTATACCTGCATTTGATAATAACTGTTTTGCAGACTATGATTTGCATATCCAGCATGTTGTTCTTGACCAGAGTAACTATGATGCTGTGTATGATAACCCTGATGATTCTCTTGATCGTTATAAATTTGTACATTGTAACCTTGATGATGAGGCTTATTACTAGACATCGCGTGTTGCGTCATAGAGCCATCCATGTGTATATCAAATGGCAGCTTATTTCTTGAATCTACTATTCTAGATGCCACGGGATGACGAAAGCGCAAAGCTGTGTCCGGAGATTGCCACAAACCCTGCACAACTGAAATAGCTTCCTTCGTGTTTACGGTAAGACTCTGGCCAAGCAGGTGTTCCTCAGCATCGGCAGCCAATGATGAAGTATGATGTTGATGCATAAATTGATTCGACGATTGTAATTTCCGCTGCGTATTTAATTCCGCTTCTATTCGTTGCACCTCAAGTCTTTCAGCTTCTAATCTTTCCAATTCTCTTCGTTCCGCTTCCTGTCGTTGCGTCTCTAAAACTTGATTCTCCACTTCGTACTGCCTCTGTAATTCCTGTTGTTCAGTCTGGAGTCTTTGCCTGTTAATCTCAGCCTCTCTTCTTTGCTGATTAAGTTTTTGCTCCTCTATTTCTTGTAAATGATATATATTCTCATAATTGTTCAACTGAGATTGAGATTCACTACCAATTTCACGGGAACAAATCATCGATAGTTCATGTTTACTTTCCAAAAGTTGTGCTCTTCTGCATAAAAAATTATATTTTATAATTATCATGTGCATATGCAATTAGCGAGATACTAATGATAAGATAATGTGTAATAATAAAAATAAGATATATTTTTTTAAGATAAACACATACATCTAGTGATTCTTTTTCTTTACAGCAATACCTTTCGAAATAAAGTTGTGCCCTAATTTCTTCCATACTAAGATCGACATTATCAGCATAGACTAGTTCTTTGGGATAACATGGTTTCTGTACAATATTTGGATCTATTGCATCTGCTACATATACCGGCACTCTTAAACTGTCATGACATTTACTGCCATCACAAAAAGCTATATGATTTGGAAATAATTTAATTTTTTCCATATCAATATCATCGCTTTCATCTTCATGAACTAGAAACATAAACAACTATCAATAAATTTTCTGTAATAATTTACTACTGGAGTTTCATCTATTTTATTCTCATCCTTACTCTTGAAACCTATTTTTACAGTAGGTCCTATTAATGGACCTCTCTTGCTTGCGCTATTCCATGGTCCAGGTTTGATGGTATTTTCTTTATGTACCGAATCCTCTATGGGCACATGATCCAGTATAGAGCCCTTTATCTCTCCAGGTGTGTCATCCTATTACATAATATTTTATTGCACAATTCATTTTCAAAACATATCCAAGTTACATTGCACTATAAGTATTATCGATAGACATGTCTCACTTGATATATTTGTATTTTAGAATTGGACTTTGCATTAGATGTTGAGATTTGGGGGACTACGCCAGGATAATAATCGCGTACGCGATGACCCGTTCGTATGCTGCCAACTCTTTTACCAGCTCTTATCGCTTTTAAAGAACTAAAAGCCTGACGTTGCTCGAATAACGAAATGTCATTTCTTTCCTCGATACGACCGAGTGTTTTACGCGCCACAGCAATTTGGAAATTTCTATGGAAAGAGTGTAAAATTTGATTATTCTTTATATTTATAGGATAATTTGTTTTGTAAAAAGGGACAATGCATACTGATGAGCATGACTCAATTCATCGTAAGGCTCTGCACGAACAGTCAGTCCCATTATGTAAACTTCATCCGCTCGTTTGTCATCCTCAATCTGCTCCAATTCAAAAGCCCAGGCTCTGTACATATCCGCCACTCTAGTCCCGATACCGTTGTTGTGCAGCAACTGGTATAATTCTAATGGATTTTTTTGCATACTTATCTAAAAGCAAAGCTAGCATTAATATACAATTATATCGATACATAAGGTTTTAAATTACTTACATAATTAATCCACAAACGTATATATCTACGATCTTGATGATACTTGGTCTCCTTCTCAAATAACGATAGACACTGCTGCAAGAGTCTTCCAACGTGGGATTCGTGGCCACTTTTCGGATAGCTCTGTTCTACCCAGAGAATATACTCATACCAATTCTCCAGAGGATCATCCCCTTCGTAATTCTTGATCGCATCCTCGTACATTCTAAATAAAAATATAAATCGCTCTCATATTTTTTGTTCTGTCGTATCGTATGAATTTTTATGAGAAAATTATAGGAAATTATAGGAAAATTATAGAATTATATTAGGAAATTATAATTATAATTAATTATAATTATAGAATTATATTAGGAAATTATAGAAAAATTATAGGAAAATTATAGAAGGAGAAAATTGTAAGTACAATTGTCATTCGAAATTGAGGACACTTACTGCTTCTCCTGCAGTAACAACTGCTGCGCATCCGCGTCCTCCTGCGCTCTCAACGCGGTTCCCAATTGCGTGGCATTCCTTCCGTACCTTAACGGCTGGATATTTTCCTTGCAGAGAGCTATCACCGTCGCGGGATCCATCACTGCCCCGATCACCGTCGTTTATCGCTCAGAGACTTCCTTATACACTGACAAAACAACAAAAAGTTCCACAATTAACGCAAACAGTAGCAGAGAATACTCAGCGGCATCCCAATTGATCATACGATTGTACACGTATAAAAATGTAAACATCCTTTACTCTACGACTGTCAATTAGAGCACCGCGACGTACATGACACGAGCGAGAGCGAGAGAACGTGGTGAGAAGCGTACGCGCGTATTCCCCGTTGGGATTATCGGGTCGCATTCGCGACATCAATTTCCGAAATCGCGAGATAGGTCAAAGTGGCCCGACGCACTCGGCCGAGAAACAACAGGCTCGCGCGCGTCAACACCCTCGCTCACCGCACCTTCGCATAATATCCCCCGCGTAGGCGGACCTTTAAATTCGAAACGGTCCGTTCTCCGAAAAAACCGCAATAAGGACGCTATCGGGGCGCACGGATTAGGTTAGGGTTAGTCTCGCGCATTAACGGCCGCCACCAACGGTTTTAACCGCCTCCTCTCCCCTGCATACGTACGTACTTCGCTACGGTAGGTACCCGTGTTACACACTCGGAATATCGCGTCGCGTCGCGTCGCCCCGCGTCGCGTCACCGTCGCCGTCACCGTCACCGGCAAGTGGCGGAATCTCGATCGAGCCCCTCGATCGATTACGCGGACTGTCGGACGAGCGTGAAATCGGTCGCCAGTTGGCCGCCAACTAGCCACCAACTAGCCGCGAACGAGCGACTGTGAGGGCCTCGGCGATACTTGTCCGCGAGACTTCCGGGCGAAATTTACCGACAAGCACAGCTGTTGCGCCCGAAGGGGCCCCCGCTCGCGCGATCTCCCTCGAGGACGGGTCTCCCACACGGGTCGCCGCTACTGTTCCTATAGTAACCTCGGCCGAAGATTGGAGCCGAAATTGGGTGCATTGTTCAGTGACGCTCAACCGGAAGGCGGACGAGAGCGATGGCGCATTTTCGCTGTTGCTTTGAACTCGTCGCGGTAAATGTCAAAAGTCTCGTCGCCGAAACGTCAAACGTCTCTATTCGTTTCGCTATAAAAGCGAAGGTCGAAGCATCGTGAAGATCGAAAGATCGACTCGAGAATAATTATAAAACTCTAGGTTTTCTCGAGTTCTACTTTCGGATCTCTCTTTCTCTCTCTTTCTCTTATCGCGATTGTCAGTACCTCTAGCACGATGATTCGAAAGATCGCGCAGCGAATGGCGGATTATGTAGGTGCTTTTCGAAAAGGAATCGTCCCGAATTATTTCATTTGAATTATTTTAATAAAGTTAAGTAAAGAGAAGAGAAAGAGGACAGATCTTTAAATCACACAACATATATTTAAGAGCGAAATAGTATTTAAAATTCCGCGTCAATAATCACGTAAATTGCGAAAATATGAATAAGGAGGAATTGCAAATTTACTGCGAAACAAAGATTAATAAAGGAGGCTTTAAAATTGAATTTGCATCTTTTATCGATAAAAAATGAAAGGATAATTTCTGGGCGATCAAAAGTTATTGTTCGCGCGAGAAGATGAATCAAATGTAAATTACAAATTTGATATAGGTTGGATCTCAAAATCTAGAAAATTATACTAGAATCGAATTTGTTTCAATTGCTCTTTCTTTGACAAAAAATTAGCCGACTTTTACTCAATGCAAATTCAAAGTGATTTTGAAAAAAATTAAGGAAAAGGGAAAAATTTTTACCAAAAAATGTTAACAACCTAGATAGAACATGAAACTCATAATGATATCATTATGATGTCATCATGATTTTATTTATCATTTAAAAGTTACCTAAACAAAAATGATTAAAAAATGAGTTAAAGATGACAAAAACAATCATAAATTTTTAAGTTCAATAATCGCATTATATAATTTTAAAAAGATTATGTTGCTTAAATCCTTCTCTAAGAAAGACATGTATAACTAAAATATACATGAATAATTAAATAAACAAGTAATTGCGTAATATATATATATAAAATGATATTAATAAGTCATCAAACCATTGCTAAAAATATATCAAATGAGATTATTATGATTTTTCTAAAAATTTTTAGGTGACTTTTAGGTGACGTCATAATGATGTCATGAGTTTCATGTTCTACCTGGGAATGTTTAATTTCGAAAATATGAAAAAAATGTATATAAAATACTGTTTCGCTCTTTAATCTTTGATATCAAACAAAAACCTCGATATTAAGTAAAAATAATTATATATAATTTAAGAAAATAATATTTATGCAAGTTGCTATAATTTTCAATTTCTTTTTTTTCAATCTCAGGTTTAACATATTTTATCAACATGATGAAAAGTGACTGATGCGATATAAAGGATTCTTTATAAATTGTGTATAACATACGTTCGAAAAATGCTCTCTACACTCCTGCTTCACAAAAAGATTATAAGAGGAATAACCAGCACCTTGATGCGACAAGATCCGCGTTACGTGCTGAGCTACGCTTTTCTGGAATATCTCTATCGTAGATTGCAAAGGATGTTTGAACAAAATCTTTGCTGGATTACGCTACCGGATATAGTTTTTAAACATAAGCTGGATGATCTGGAAGATACACAAAATAAATACATCGATTTTGATTCCTGTGCGTTAGCGAATATACGATTTTCAAAGGAATCGTCGAGTTCCTGGTTTCACGTATGCTCGATGACTTCAATGGCAAGATATAAATTAATGATTATATCCGCACCTGATGTTTGTGAAAACACTATCCTAATCTCTGAAACGATGCGGCATAATTTGCAAAACGCCCTTCATTGCGAACAATTGGATGAATCATGTTTTATATGTAAATATTTATAGTTTTTATCAGACGTATTTTTAATCTACATATCCTAAAATATAAAACTGTATAATTTTCTTTCATTTTTAAGTTGTAACCGATTATCGAATATTATTAAATAATAAAAAATAATTAATAATAAATTATTTAACAATAAAAAATAATTAAAAATTTGTTTTAGTGCCATTGGAAGATGATGTAGTCGAATTTGCGAGCGAGGCGAGAATATCCTTAATCGCCAATCCGTACGATTGCGCTACCGAAATGATGGATGTCATGCTGGAGAATTATTTTTTACATCCTCGATATTTACATGTAAATGATGTATTTAAAATCGATGCGAAAGAATACGCTCAAGATCAATTTTACTTATCCGGATCACCGGCGATTTGCACCATGTATTTTACGGTTAAATCCTTAAAAGTAGATCATCATGGACGTAGCGATAACGTCAACGGCTGTTACGTCGTGCGTGGAGAATCGACGCTCATCCAGCAGGCACGAGTCCACGATTATATCCCGCGGAGGCACGTTTTTACATTTCCCGAAAGCAAATATCCATCAGCTTTGACGGAACCTTTGGAACATTTAGTATCCTGCGTCAGACCGTTCCTGAAGAAGAGTAAGGAATAGCGCACATTTAAAAAATCGATAATGTTTGAAAATATACCATAATCGTTCTGTAAATGTATCTTTCACATTCTCTTATATCGTTTCAGATGTACAGTTGCATGTAAGGCCAGTGTTTCTCGTGAAAGGACCGCGAGGCTGTGGCAAACGCGAATTGGTTCGAATCGCGTCCGCGAGAATGGGATTGAACTTTCTTTGCGTTGACTTTGCGGAGGTGCAAACTCTAACGGCGGCGCAAACTGAGGCTAAACTTCGCATAACGTTACATAATGCACAGCAATGCGTACCATGCATATTATATCTGAATAATATTCAAGTGCGTAAGAGGCGAGAGTCGCGTCAAATTATTTCGCGTTTTCCATGATCGTAATTTAATTGTCTTTCATAGATATTCGGCAAGACTGCCGAGGGTCAAAAGGACGAGAGGATTATATCTGCTTTTTCGACGGAGATTACCACGTTATACGCTAGTAGACAAAGATTTCCTCTGATCATCATCGCCGCTTCGGAGACTGATTTACCCGCGGAACTGCAACGAATATTTATCGAGACGATTCACGTCAAGCATTTGAATCAGAATAAACGGACGGAACTGATGTCTTGGTTGCTATCTGAAAAGAATTTAACGACTACCGCAGATCTATCAAAAGTCTCTGGTTTTTGTTCGGATTTCAGATTTGCAGATTTGATGGCGTTGACATTGCATGCGGCTAAATATCGATACAAATCATGGATATCGTCCGAGTCTAAAATCTTGACGCAAACAGATTTCGACCGAGCTTACGGTATAATTGCTTTATAATTAATTTATAATTAATTTAGCAATATCAAAAAACGTTTTAAGTACAAATGTTAAGATGCATCACAAAGACGTGAAAGATGTTTTTTTAATAAATTTTAAATTTATAAAATTTTCTTAAATTATACAATGTTTGAGTTATCTTCTAAATCGAGTGTTAAATTCGATTAAATATATTTTTCATTGCATAATAATTAATTCATTTGCAACATGTAATCACGTATCTTGTTAAAATGGAGTATAAAATCTTAGATTTTTTTTATGTATAATATAAATAATATAAATGTATTTTCAGAATATATGCAATCCATATATTCAGATAGTAAAGGCGCTCCACGTGTGCCGGAAGTTCACTGGGATGACATAGGCGGTTTGGCGGAATTGAAGCACGAAATTATTCGTAGAATCCAATTGCCATTGTTGAACGCCTTCGGATTTGGACAATCCGGATTACTATTATACGGTCCGCCCGGCACCGGGAAGACTCTTCTCGCTAAAGCGGTAGCGACAGAATATCAATTACACTTTTTATCCATCAAAGGTCCGGAAGTGTTGAACATGTATGTCGGTCAGAGCGAGAAGAACGTAAGGCAAAGTACGTCATCTAGAAGAAGAAGGCGATTTTTAGAGTAAACGTATAACAAAAAATTATTTGTTCTTTAAAAACAAAGTAAAACTATTTTTATTTTCTCGCAGTTTTTGAACGTGCGCGTTCCGCGGCCCCTTGTATCATCTTTTTCGACGAGCTGGACTCATTGGCACCTAATCGCGGTAGAAGCGGCGACAGCGGCGGCGTAATGGACCGCGTGGTCTCTCAATTACTCGCCGAGATGGATGGCCTCGACGAGTCTGGTGGCATATTCATCATAGGGGCCACAAACAGACCTGATCTCATAGATCCCGCTCTGCTCCGACCCGGAAGATTCGATAAGATGCTCTATGTCGGCATTCATTCCGACAGCGCGTCCAAACTTAGTGTTTTACAGGCGCAAACGCGAAAATTCGAATTACGGGAGAACGGACGAGAGCTGGAACGAGTCGTGGATCAATTGCCCGATAACGTCACCGGTGCAGACCTGTATTCCGTTTCTTCCAATGCATGGCTCAACGCTGTGCGCGAAGTTGTCGCAAGATATCAGGAAAGAAAAAAATTCAACAAAGACTTCTCTATCGAAGAAGATATGATTAAAGATAGTATTATCGTAGAACTGCGACATTTTTCGGACGCTATTCGCGACTTGGTACCTTCTGTTAGTGACGAAGAGATAGAGAGATACAACAAAATGCGTACAGAGTTATCAACATCATAATTTAAAGAAATTGTGCCTTAAGGTATGGTAAAATATATTTCTATTAAGGATCTTAAATATAGCTATCTGTTCAGTTATGAAAAATAATATCATCATAATGCTGATCATCCGTGATAGATTTTTTGTTGCTTTGATCCCTTATCTTGTGCCAAAGAATTTATAATTTTAGTTAAATATAATCAATATATCATGCATGTATATTTCTCAAATGGTTTATCCTTAATGGATAGAGATACAATAAGTGTAATAAAATAACGTGCGCGATATTATAAACGACATGTTATTTTATTTCGAGAAGTATGTAAAATAATTTGTACAGCGAATAATTAAAATGAAGGAGGTGTCAATCTCTATATTCTTCGTGTATCATCTTCGATTATCGCATCATCGATTTATATTATTCTGCGCGTATTGCACCTAATTATACATCGTCCTTCTTTACGTTCTCGGAGCAAAGAGGTGCCTTGAACGCTCTTGATCGTTATACAATACACAGCGACAGAATATACAATGTAGAAAAATAGGACAGCTAAATTCGCGGATCCGTCGAGTTCGGAGATAAAGGGTGCTGAAATATTCTCTCAAGAGTGGCGATTGACGTATTAGGTGCATATAGGACAGCGAATAAAATCGGGATATCTCGGTATCTCTATATCTATTTCGGATTCTCTCGAAACATGATCTTTGCTCGAATTTGCATAGGATAAACTGTGATCGTTTTTCGCTTTAACAGCGCGCCGTTCCGTCAACGCGTATCTTTTTTTCTCTTTCGTGGAAAGAAAGAAATTCAACGGGAGCAAGAAATCTAAATATCATATCTAAATATATTAATTATGTTACACGATGATTCATCCCATTTGTGCATGTTATATATTTAAAACGCATGAAAGCGAATTAAACACACATTGTTCGGGCGATCACAGATCGTGTATACCTTTGGTAATCGCGAGGTAGTAATCAACTTCCAGATCTGCCTGTCCTTTCGTAGGGCAAAACGGTTCGGTGCATTATGATTGAGCATCTATTGCAAAAAACATAAATTAGTGTAAAGCGAATTGATACGCTTCGGTGGTATGTATGTATATGTCCCATACGTGTATGCTATTCTCGACTCGGCATGACGAACATGACGAACAATGAATTTTTATTATTTTTTTTTTTTTATTCATCAAGTGCGCCTCTCTTTCTCTCATTGTTAGTTGGATGGTTATTATCAATTGTCGTTATTTTGCACGACGTACTATCTTTATCTTCGATTATATTCTATCGTTACAATCATGTACACACGCTCATCCAAACACTGATCCGCACACATTGCACCGAAAGTTATCGTAAACCTGTAGACTTTTGATATTTGCGCCGCTTTTCGTATGTGAAACGTGCGACGATTTCATCTTTTCCTCTACGTCAATACTTATGTGCGATGTAAAGCCGTGTGTACTTACGTGCAAACATAAGTATCACATTCGGTAAAAAATAGGCTGATTTCTATTATAAGTCGTCACGTGCCAGCCGAAAAAAGAAAAACGCCGCGAGGACTCAGATCTAGAAGGTGCAAAATCTTAGGGAGGTGCGCGCCCTAGGCTATCGTGTCTCGGAGATAGTCTTTCTGAGAAATTAGGATCAGAAATCATCGGAGTGTGTAAATCAACAATTTTATACATCTAAATCGTTATTTTGCTACTCACTTTTATACTCTCCGAGGTATCTCTTCTTGCGTGTTGTCTTTAACTACGCAATGCTAATGTGTAAGACATTACATAATGTACATTAAATAGCAATATACATACATATATATGATAACTATTCTAGAGTTGGATGAGAACGATATATATGCATAGAATAGGGATTATAAAATTAGATGCCAGGCATTTTTCTAAATGTACTTTCGGTCAGTACTATCATCATACATGTATATACTCGTGAGCAAGGAGTGTCTAGCGAATCGATAACTCCATGTAAAATATATGCATCTTAAATGGTTAAGTGAAACGGATCATATTGCCTTCGTAAGTGGTGTAATTTCTAAACACGTCGGAACGACGCGATATCAGACCGCGTGTTCGTTGTTTTTCTTCTCGTGAGATACGCTATATAATACAAAATGTGGAAAACGAACGACCGAGAGCACCTTTTCGAGGAGCGCTTTCCGACGTGCGTTACGTTAAGCGAGTTCTCTTTGCGAATTAATGTACAATTAATCCTTATCCTTAAGTATATCAAGGAACGCAATATAGTAATGACTACGAGTCAGTGAGAGGTACCAGATTAGGAAAATATGTAAGGATATACTACTGCTACTGCTCGCTAAATATGGCTATCGTGAAGGAATACTTCGGCAGCCGCAAATCGCCTTTGGTCGGTCGTCGCCTATATTTACATCTGTCGCGCGAACGACGGTTTTTGCATCTCGAGAACATTTGGAGCTTCGTCCGCTCGTGGAAGATCCACGACGAGGATGATTCGGCGGATGTTTCTCGCAGTAATATTCTCAACGCTCATCGTGCTCCGCCCGTGTCTATGTTTCTCTCATTCGTTTTAAATCGTAAAACGATGACACATCGTCTTGTCGACGTAGCGAGAGCGCCCGATGATGTTCGTGATCGGAGATGTTTGTGATCTGCGAACGCATCAGAGATGGGACTTGTACGAGCCTGCGCGTGTTCCCTGTCAAAAGTATCGCCTGGCGGGTAAGGCCGGTCATGAGACCTCGGTGTCCGACCCTACGATTAAGATTAATGTGTTATTATTTTGTATTTTCATTTTGCATTTCAGCAAATTCGCAACATCATATATTTATCTGTACCTGGTCAGGAAGACTTTGTGGCAAACTCGTGCAATATATCGCATGCCATCTCGAGATCGTTCCTAGTGATGCCGAGCGCCCTGATCACGGCGTCCTGCGCGAAACCGAGCGCCGTCAGTCTCGTGATATGCTCGACATTGACGTTCTCGTACGCTGCCGATTCCGGGGACTTGATCATCGAGGCACAACCACCGCCACCGCCTGAATCATCCTTCGCCATCATCAGCGCCCTCAATCCGGCGGCTCTGCTCGCCGTCAGGTTCTTCACTACCTGGTGACTTGGACCGCAGATGACGAATGTGTTCTCGTAATGATGATCTTGACGAATGCCAACCGCCTCCTTCCCACCGGCCTTTGGCGGTCGTGGCGCCGATAAGGGCGGCGGTACTGGCGGCACCGGATTATTACTGGGACCTTGACTCGTCGTCGTAGTCGTCGTCGTCGAACTGGTCGCGCTGATGCGACTCGCCTTCTCCGGCAACGTCGGCGGTGGCTGCGGCTGTCGCTGTGGCGTGCCACTCACGTGATTTCCGTGAGGACGACGAGCTCCGTGGGTCCTCGTCACCGCTGTCGATGGCGGTATCGGCGGGATCGGCGGCACCAGCGACGGCGAAGAAGCGCGATGCAGCATGTCGTACCTCGCCTCCGTATTCACTGCAAATACTGTGAAAATTTTGGAACCTGGACCTCGGATCATACGCTTATCTTTGCGTATGCAAAATCATAATTATTGTAAGATATAATACACATTATTATGCAAATTATTTGTAAGATATAATACACATATATATTAATAATTATATATAAAAAATTTAGTACATCACGTACATAGTATATATTATAAAAAATATATTATGCAATAAATAAAATAGATTGATATATTATAAATATTATAAAGTTATTGCGTAATATATTTCATGTAATATAACATTAGAATCTTGAATTGTTATAAAAGTTGAAGCTATGATTTTTAATAATTTTTTAGCTCATAAATCTTAAGCTTCAATCAACACATTAAATCAACATAAGAAAAGCATTACGGATTCACTTGTACTTTTTTACAGGTAATTACATCGTTTCTCGAATAACTTCTGCAGGATACGCGCAAGTTGAAGACATTTCTAAAGAAACTGTTCTGCCGTACCTTTGTTATTTTGTTGAGTGTTGTCGGTGTAATTCAATATCACCGTGACCGCTGACGGCGGCGGCGGGGCATTTTCCTTCGGCACCGTCAGGTGACGGCCGTTCCTGAGATGATTGTTCGGCGTGGGCGACGGCGAAGGTCTTCTAGGCGGCAACGGTGGACTCGGGACGATCCTCCGCGGCGGCACCGGCGAATTCGTCGGACTGGAATCCTCCTCTTCGTCCGAATCGTCGCATATGATGAGCCCACAGTTCCCGTTGCACAGCTCCATTATGTCCTAAAACATCGATGAGGCGAAAAGAATGGGTTAAGTGCTAAGTTCCGTCATGCAACGAGAAAATACTTACATTTTGTACAAAGACCGAATCGACGACCTTAATTATATACTTCTAAATTTCGTAAACGAAACGATTTAAATTCGCGCTCGATAAGAATAAATAACAATGAGAGAGTTTCGATAATTATCTTGTAAATTTTTTTTTTTTTTTTACGCAAAACAATTAGTATTGTCAAGTTAATGAAATTTAGATCTTTCCACCATCGATACAAAATAATAAATCAGAAAATTATATAGTTCACCCTGTCATAAGACGGAATAAAATTGCGCATGAATTGATTCCGGAGAAGAAACAGACTTTAATATTCATGAATATAATCAATCACGAGAGTCTCGCGTTTATAAATTATTTCCGTTTAAGCACTGAATACTTTTTTTTATCTCTATCTTCTCAAGCCATTTAGAACTTTTATAGCAATATTAAATTAAATGTAATGTATTCTAAATAATGATTCATAATACGGAAAATTATAGAAGAATAAGCGCGATTGTAAATTTTACAAAAGAATGATATTTATCTTCATTTTATTTTTCAACAAAGAAAAAACGAATATTCTCTACCAAGTGATTTTTATACAAAGATTGTATAAATTATAAAGGTATCATGAGAAAAGAAGAATCTGCTGCTTCAAAAAATTTTATATAAATTACGATTAAAGTAAAATATTTATGATTAAATATGAAACTTATTAGACCGGGAGAATTTAATCGCAACTTTCTAGAAATTGTGACCTGATAGAGAAATTTAAAAGCCGAAAAAAATAATATTCAGTGTGAGAAATAATAATCTTTTTCTTGTACAAGAAAGTTATTTTTGTCAAACTTTGCAACTAACGGACTCGTGTGATATAGAAATAATTGAAATAAACTAAATCAAAGTCATATCTCATATTTTAATGACAAGGGATCTCGCTTGGATACGGCGTGTCATCATCGTCATCCGTGATAGAAAAGTCTCTGTGAAGAGAGAAAAAAATTTCATCGCGTCGTACTTTACGAACAAGGTGGAAAATATCAAAGTACCGGTTGATTTCCCCTTATCCGTCGTGAATCGAATGCGAAATTATTAACGTTGCCACGTTGAAAGTAAATAATGAGCGTAATTACAAAGCATAAAAGCGTAAAAACGGACGAATCATAATGCATGTTGTTGCCACTTACCTGCGACTTGCGTGTGCGATGCGCGTGCTACTCCCTCTTCCCGGATAGGACATTTTTTTATTACCGATTAGTTTTTGGATCATGCAGCGGGTAGAGAGCAATGTGACCCCAGTGTGTGCGGAGAGAAGTAACGTTATGAAATAAAACTAAAACGATCATGCGAACGATTATAATAATAAGAGAAAAAATCGAGAGAGCTCCCCGAGTTGCTCCGGAGGAGCAACGCGCGAAGAGTCGAGCGAGAGGGATATCGTGCGTATGCAAAATACACACAATGTGCACAAAAGTAACTCGAACGTGTAATAATGATAATACCATTTTTATTGTAAAAAAATTATTCTCAAGTTCCCTAGTATTTTACAATGAATAATAGATACTCTCGGCGGTCGTAGACGCTAGAGTTACGTTTATACGAAAAATTGATCCGGAGCTACGCAATCAGTGAGAGCGCTTCTTCGTCAAATCGCTAATTAAATTACGAACGCGCCAGTTACGCTGAACTGAATTGAGTAACGATCCGTAAAGTAAGTGAATCCTCCGTAAACTTTACGAGGAGGATTAAATTGACACTCCATCGAATCATACTAAGAGTTTTTATCGAGATTGCATACTTGGATTTTTAGTTGCATGAATTATACAACGCGTATAAAAATGTGTCTTTAAGTCAGCGTCTTGTATTGTAAAATGTACGTATAATCGGACACGACAGCACAAGAAACCTTTTGAACTTTATCTTTTTTTTTTCGATACAAGAAAGTATACGGAATAAATAATAAATTAATATTGTAAGGAAACAATTAACGCTGCGATCGAAACGACGATCTTGTGTATTAATGGTGATGTTAACGTGACGTTACATTCGTGCCTATCGCCAGCAGGTACATAATACAATCGAACGCGATAGTATAACGATGGTGAACGAGCTTCTTTCTCGAGTTCGTCGTTTATGCTACTTTACTCGACCTCGTCGCATATATTCCTCTTTCTTATCGTGAACGCTTAAAAGCTATATTTAGAATCTTAATAATACGGAACGTTTATATGTATCTCTTCCCATTTTCCTTTCGATAAACGTCACTCTCTATAAAACAATCATTCGTTATCACAGTATTTGAAGAAATGTAAGTGTGATAGCGAACGTTCAAATAGATCTCGATCATCATTGCACAATGAGAGAAATAATGTGAACGATTCAATATGCAATTTAAGATGCAATTGATTGTCGATAGTTGACGATAATATCATAAATTTTACACAGTTGCTGATAATACCTAAAATTTCTATAAATTACAGAGGAGATAATTTCGTGTCATTTAATCGTTTCCTTAATTATTAATCTTAACAAATCCTGCTGATCTGTCTCGTACTCTAATGCAATTCTAAATGCAAAATTTCAATATGTTATTAAAATTTTTTGCTCGGAGTCATCATGTAGAATCATAATTCTCCTCTTTCTCTCTCTGTGCTTCACATATATTAATTTAAATATAAGCGCTATTTTTCCATATCATCGTCTAAGAATCACAATCGTATGCACAAATAATATATACAAATATTCTCAGGCACCAACATTCTTCCGTATGCACATACTTAAAAAAAAAAGAGCGCTTTTAAAAACGCATATGCACATGCATTATGAATCTCGTGAGCCAAAAAAGATTTTTGCGGCGTCAGTAAGTGAATGTAAATGAACCCGCTTTATGACTGGATGCGAACCCATATATATTATGCCTAATACATTTCTCCGCTTGATACATTAACACGTTATACAAGCACGATCTAAAATCTCGATACGATAATGCCTTATCAAATATCTCTATATCAGATTATCATCTATAATTGCTCGGAAGCTGTAGCTGCGTATGCGTAGTAGTCGTAATAATGTACAGCGGTAATGGGCCGGTATAATAGAGCCGCCTCGTAGCTTCCAATGAGATGTGAGAAAAGCGTGTCTTACCTGAGCGCGAGGCCCCGCGTAATCGGTGAAATTTGTAAATTATGCGGCGTACGAAACGATTTGAAACGAGTGTTAGTTGCGAAAATGCGCGACAATAGATAAGGCTGATCGATCGAGTAATCGCTCCGTATATCTTGCGAACACGTAAAAAAAAAAGAGGACAACAAACTCTATGGAACTTTACACTAGACAAGTCTCTGCGCAATTTGGTCCCTTTTGGTCCCGGAATAGAACGTAAGTAACTTCTCCGATATCATATAGATGCCTGAAACTACTGCGTACCTGCCACGAGTACAGTCATGACGATAAATTCTACGAAATGACATGTGACACGTGTATACGATCGCGAGTTCTCGTGTGAAATGTATGAGGCATTCTCGAGAATGAGAGCGATGTTATACATAGAACACATTTAATAATGAAGGTAGATGCTATTCCTAGTCGGATACCTCGGTGTCGGGGTCGAGATCCCGCGTGGGAGTCGATGCATTACTGGCGGACGCCGAGTGCGCTCCAGGTCGATGCGTTCTTCGCGGGTCGAACGGATCTACGACGATCTGCTCGGTACCCTTAATCTCAGCTCGGCAAAACGGACAACCCTGTCCTTCAGAATCCTGCAAGCAACCAATCAAACGTTCATTAACTTGATGTCTACTGTATCTACCCATCTCTCTCTCTCATCTCAGAAAGGAATCCTTCTATTATATATTCTCGCATGAGAGAATTAGGAGTAACTCAATAACAGAATGATCAGTTGACAAGCAAAAAACTTGATTTTCTCGTTTACGCTACGCAAGAAAAATTGTAAGATTTAAATCAAGTAAAAGTGAAAAGCTAATCTCACGTTAATCAAATCGAATTATTACAGAAACATTCATTGACGAGCGTCGATCGATAAATCTACAAAACGATGACACGATAAGATTATATACTGCTACCTGCCAAGCTGTAAGACATGGAGTGCAGAGAAGATGTCCGCACGGTTCTATCCTTACGTCCTTATCGTGTTCGGCGCAGATCTTACACAGCTGGAATGTGCTTCCCATCTCGCAGTACAACTCGTACTGTTCCGCCGTCACTTTTATGTGCTCCTCCGGCGTTGGTTGCACCGCCCATGTCAAGTCCGGATTGATATTTCGGCCGTCAGGATATAAGTAGCTGGAAATCGAATCTTTGAAATACGTATTTGATGTATAATCTTCATTGCAGGTAGGATCAGGTAAGCCGCCTGATATTCTGAATGATACAAGATGTACTCACAAGCCTTCCCGGTAGCCATCCAGCAACGCCTGGCACAGGCTCTTATTGTGCGGTATAGTTTGAAGAATATCACCGTCAGACGTGACATAACCGATTGCCCATTGTCCCAGCCTCGTGCAACTTAATCGAAACACATAACTCCCAGGCTTGGTAATACAATATTTCTGTAAACGTGCTTTCACTTCGTCGTATGTAAGAAAAGCCACGTAGCCGGGGTGCGTCACAGCCAGAATCTTCCAGTTGCGTAGGAGAGTCGACCACGGTTGAAACAACCTTGAAAATACAAGACTAAGTGCAAACTGTCCCGACTATAAGCTGCGAATGAAATATTTACCTTGTAAATACGTCGAATTCAAAGTTGGAGATGTAATCGTTGCACGTCAAATCTATCGTGGATTTCAGTGCCATTGCTTGCAGTCCCGAACTGATGGGATGCACTTGATTCAACTCGTGTCTGAATACCTTCCACGGTACTAACGTACTGAAAAAAATATGAATAAATCAAAGATTATCTTTTAGTTTCTTTATAATATTAAAATGTTTAATTAATGAATATAAATTTTATAAAAGCATAATAAAAAATTCTTACAATATTTATAGACATGAATAATTTATATGAAAATTTATAAATAATTAATAATTAATAATTTAATATACAATTAATAATTTATATAAATAATTAAAATTTTATAAATAATAATCCTTGTCAATCTTTGTTTCGGCAATATTTTAAAATTTTTCAGAGAATTCATTCTAAGAATTAATATAATTAGATACTTGTACGTATATTGATATAAAAAAAATCTTTTTACAAATTATATTTTGCAATTCATATAAAAAATAGTAATAATATTATAACATAATTGAAAATTACATCATTTTCACTCGAACGTTTCGAAGTTTAACGTTGGTAGTTGCCGCGCATGCGCATTAAGGCAGTGTTAGGATGACTTGTCAGTGTGAGACAACAATTCTCAGTGCTTGGACGTGTAATTTCATCGGGCTCTTTTTCAACGTGTAATCGCATTTTTTTAACGGTAAGTTAAAACGATTAAGGCGAATCGAGAATCCGAGTATTTCACGCGAATTATTGAGATCGATAATCTAAGATATTCTCGATTAAACGGCTCGTAAACAGTCTCTCTGTTTACTGCGCATATCTTGACGCAAAACGTAACCGTATCTCTTGATCTCAATTTAATGTGTCATTTTAACGGTATTCAATAATAATATAAAAATACAAGTAATTCGTGTATGTCGAGAACATCGATGAAAAAAAACTTCGCAGTCGACACGTACATACTTCGCAGTTAGATCTCTCGCAAGGATACCGCCCGCCAGCTGATCGTCGCGAGCCTTCGTGAGGTTACGACCGGCGCACGATAGGTGGCTATCGATTGCAAAAGTTCAGTCCGCACTGACGTCAACTTACTATATCCAAGTCGTTCATTGAGAAGAATAGGAATAATATATAACCGGGTTAATCGAGTTCTCGTTATCTACGCGAAATGGAAAGACATAACAATTAAAAACTAAATAAGCAGCTTTTTACGAGAAAAATTTAATATCTTTTTTTTTCTTTTTTTAATTATAACAAAGAAAAACATCGATATACTATTTCCCAATCTCTAGTTAAATGTATAAAATAAAATTTTATATGCAAATATATTTTCCCTATCAGATTATATTACAATATTGATAATATTAATCTGTAAAACTAATAGAAATTAAGATTAAAAAACGAATCTCTTTAAAACGAATAGAAATTGAGATATGAGAAATTAGTTTTTAAAAAGTCGACATTGAAATTTATAAAAGAATAGTAAAAATAATGATAAAAAAAGATGAAAAATATGATAGATTTAAAAAAATCTACAAACATATGGTGAGAATGATCTAATATCATTTAGAAAATACTTCACTATTATTACGTTATATTTCAATTTTACAGTAGATAATTTGCAAAATTACTTATAAAACTTATATTACTTATAAACTTATAAAAAACTTAAATTTTCGATCGAGCTGATGCAGAATTAATGAGCAATGAATCTACTAGAAATTTCTAATGAGTATAACTAGCTAAAAATTAAGTTTATATCAGCACTAGTAAAAAGCAATATTTATTTGCTAAAAAATAATATTCGTAAATATTCTTCTTCTATATTTATTACATTAGAAGAAAAAAAGAAACTATCTCAATTGTTTTATACACATCTCATATTAAAGCATGAAATGTATAAAAAAATAATAGTTTTTTTTTTAATTATTAAAAACTTGTATAATATATATGATAAATATATATTATAAGTATATGATAAGTAAATCTTTCTATTGTAAATTGATTGGATGACAAATCGGGAACTTTCGATATTTCGTCGCGTCAATTTATCCTTTAACACAGCACAATTGCATAGTCATTGTGTTTCATTGACAATTCGCATAACTGTTTCGGACTGTTTTATTATTCGTGTTTTTATGCGTCTATAATCGAACGATGGGAAATCCACATCTAGCAATCATCATTCAATTGCTGAATATGGATTTCCCATCGAGGGTTATTTGTTGAATCATCTGATTTGATTGTCAAATAAAAAATATTAATAAACTTAATAATAAGCTTTTAAAAACTAATTTATAAATCTTATAGAAATATTTAAAAAATATATGAGAGTGAAATTTCTTGTATTATTCGCGATTCTTTCGTATGCATATCCCTTTTATATTTTTTATTTCGATATAATTAAATGGCGATAAAACATTCATGAACTTAAAATTTATTAATTATTTCTTAATTATTTCCATTTCAATAACTCATAACAAGTCAACTTAATTTTTTACATATTCGCAAAATATGCTGTTTAAAATGAAGAGATCGTCAACTATCGTTTTTCTAAATAATAAATTAATGCTAACTGTATAAATGCTGGAAATTTAACTAGATGCACTTAACTAGACTGCATTTAATTCGTATTTATCATTTATTATCGTAAACGCCATGAACGTCGATAATCATGAAAAAAAAATGCAATCACGAGATAGAGCTCTTGAATATTTCACGTTACCTTAAAAGTTATAGAACTATCTCTTATACTCTACAATATTATATTCTCTATATATCGGCAATTGCAGGAACGCAACTTACACCGATGTACCGGAAATGAGAATTATAAAATTCATACTACCCACCGGACTTACGCATTTAGTCCGAAATTTCGCAGGCACGTAATTTTACAATTGCTCCCCTCTGCCCCTCGTCTCCTTCTTTCGTCTCTCACCTAATGATAAATATTAATATACCGGTCATAAATAATGCCAATCGCAATCGAAATGATCTATAAAAAAAGCAATTCGCGTAAAAACACTCTGTAAATTATTCAGAAAATGAATTTGAGATCGATTTTCTGGGAACCTCGTTTGATCCGATTATCTTTTGTAATAATAATTAAGTGATAATTTGAAATATCGCTTTGTAAGCTTTCGATGTTATTATTCGTTCTAATTATTCGTATAATTAGGAAGATATTACAATCATATCGTTTTATCATGCGCGCAATTTTATTCGTTTATATCTTCAGCCTGCGCTGAAAATTGCAACATGTTTCGAAAGCGATTGTTATGCATATTGACAGCACAGTGTGATGCATGTAAAAAGATAATACTCGTTTTATTAAACACGCGTGATGTTCCTTTAACATATAATGACGTAGAATCTAATCTAAAAAATTGAACATTTATTTCCGCAAAGTTCGTGGAATTTTAATATCATGATATATGTATCAGTTGAAAAATACTTGGAAAAGTACTGTTCAACTGATACATATATTTTTTTAAATTTATTTCGAGGAAGACGAGAGATCGTGACTAACGTAGATGCACAGAAAATTAACAACATCGGATTGCGAATAAAAGAAAAAAGAAGACGCGAGGCAAGTGTATCGTTTCAAACATTCAACTTTCATGATTGCAGTTGCAGCAGCGATGAGCGGAAACAAGGATTATAACTCGGCCACATCGATTTACGATTTCACAGCCAACTCTATCAAAGGGGAGGAGGTCCCTTTGTCCAAGTGAGCATAAATCCAACCGATAAATCGCCGATATTATATATGTTGTCAAAAGGATGTAATGAAACATCTGTCTATCGTTAGATATCAAGGCCACGTGTGTCTGATCGTAAATGTCGCTTCAAAATGCGGTCTTACAGCCACGAATTACAAGGAACTCAACGAATTGTACGACGAGTACGCCGAATCTAAAGGTAATAATCTCGATAAGTGCAAAAATCAAAAGTTATTCCGCGTACAATAAAGTTTTTAAATATCTTTCCTGTTATTCGACAGGCCTACGCATTCTAGCGTTTCCCTGTAATCAATTCAACGGTCAAGAACCAGGAAACAGCGAGGAGATTTGCAGTTTCGCCGATCGCCAGAAAGTAATTCTTGAAATATTTCTTCACGAATATATCCGATTATTTAATTTCTACTGACATTGCACAATAATAATTCATGCAAATGCGTGGACAATCGTCTCTTTTTGCTTCAACAAATAAATTTTTAACGTTTGTGTTTGATACATCTTTTACAGGTACAATTCGATTTGTTCGAAAAAATCGACGTGAATGGAAATAACACGCATCCTCTTTGGGCATATCTGAAAAAAGAACAAGGCGGCTTTCTGGGTAGCTTCATAAAATGGAATTTCACCAAGTTTATCGTCGATAAAGAGGGCAAGGTCGTCGAACGACAAGGTCCTAATGTCAATCCGCAAAAGCTGAAGGGTTCTCTCGAGAAATATTTTTAAATCGTCTTTTTTCAAAATTAATATTTTTTTGCTTATGTATGGAATATGAAATTCACAACATATACAGATTCTACGATATATATGAAAACTTATTCTTTACAATATATAAGATATATACGATATATAGAGTAAAATAAATTCTTCAAATTAAATTCTTCAAAAATTCTATTATACATGTAATACAAACATACTAACTGTCTATGTAACTGAAAATTATTATTTTATATTTACACATTTTATCTCTATTAGATTTAATTAAAATAAACATGAATATTATTATATAGAGCTTTATTTTTATCATAGAAACTATTTAGATTACTGAATAAATGTTTCGCTCTCATTTTATTTTTACAGTTAATACCTTGGTTAATACTAACAATTTTAATCTTCCATCAATTTATATCTATCTTGTATACAATGTTTGTTATTTATTTTGCGATGTGTGTGTCATAGAAGAACAAAAATTATATTTATTCAGATGAGCACACACATTCGTTCAAAATCTATGTACGAGTTTTTTAAATTGTAAATTATATTTCGAAAAATATAATTACAGATATTCAACAGTATGAATTATATATTTTATAAAAATCTAGCATAAGAGAGGAAAGTATAGTTTTCTCATAGTTGATTACACTTTGTTTCATCTAGTATAGAACAACCAGCTTACATTCAGAATTATTTTCCATTTTAGAGATTATTTATATTATTGTTGATAAAAATATGAAATCTCTCGAGCACCGTAAAAATACATTTAAAGTAATCGGCTTTCAGTTTTGTCCTTTTTTTTATTATCGATGTACTACATCGACTTTATCCAACCAACTTTGCTTGCATTTTCGATATCAAAATAATTTCAATTTATATATTAATCATAAAATGATAACAAATAAAACAATTGTGTAATCAATTTATCGCGCATAAAACTTTTGAGATGTCTCTCTCCTGTTACTCTCTTGTTTACATGAAATAATAAAAACAAATTTAATTATTGTATTTTATTATTTACATTTATTACTACTTAAAAATTAAATTATATTGTATTCCATGAAAACTGAATTGTATGCGTAACAAAAGTTAAATCAATAACATTATTCCAATTCGATTGAAGTACAGCTTGAGAGACGTGGAATTGCGACCAATTAATTGGGAAAGTCCAAGCTGATGCTTCCTCCGGTGGAAGTAACTGATGTATTTGTTCAACTTCCACAATAGGAGATATACGACATGCATGAATGTAATTTCACTCGCCTATAACACGCCCACTCTCTTTCATCGTGATAATTAGCACAGTGACGTGGTTACTTTCGCGCGGCGTTTTACGTTTATTCCTTGTCGTGACCTTGTCTGTTTACGGCATTAACGAAGCGACGCTGCACTTTTAGCTTAATTGTACCTTTTTAAGCGCTCTCCCGCGTGTAGTTTCCGCGCGACAGTCATTAAAGCGCAGGACAATTTATCATTAGATTGCCTTAAAAAGAACAAACGCGCACAGACATCACATCTATTAACGTAAATATATCTCTTTCAATATGTTTCAATTTCGAGACGCGACTTATACTCGTCGTTTTTTTTTCATTGATAACTTTTTAACCATTCTATTTTAACGAAACATGACAGATAATTCAGTTCGATAACACTATCTTTTAAAGTATAAGAAGTATAAGAAGAATTTTCAATCAATTTATAAATTCATCTTTTTTTATTTCACATTTTTTTCCCTTTATATTGATTAATTTTCTTTTGTCTCTTAAATATTAATATTTATTTTCATTTATCTTAAATATTAAATAATTTTTCGCGATTAAAAATTAAGAACTTTTCGCAAGCTAAGATTCTGGGAGAGAGAGAGAGAGAGAGAGAGAGAAACGCGGTTATTAATAAAATTTTACCGTATTCTCAGATTTAAATTATAACTCAGAATTTCGATTTCGAGAACTGGCGCATTCCACAAATTTAATTAACGAGATATTCCCCATGATGTCTATCGAATAATCATAAAATTATGCCAAGTTATCGTTATTAAAATTACGTTTTTCGAAAAGCTCGTATGTCTCGCTACTCGGCTCATCCGTCTGACAATCGCGTAATTTGCGAGATGCCAGGTGTCGACAGCGACACAAGGGTAAGCGTGACGCACGTCCTGAATTCACATCCCCGGGTCGGCGACGTCGTCGTCGTCGTCGTCGACGACGACGATCAAAATGGGTCATGTCCTCCATCGTCAGACTGTAATCTCTCTCGGGTCGTACTAAGCGTTCCATAATACACGTGCGCACGCGTATGTATAGTACGTATGCGCGGACGGACGGTGCACATGGTTAATGTAACAAAACGAAGTTGAAAGAGAGAGAGAGAGGGAGAGTTACTGACGCTATAATTAGTCGTCCTTGCCTCGCCGACTGATCCGAGGCTCGCCTCCATTCATAGAACACCGCTTTTCCAACGTCGTCTCCTCCAACGTGACGTTTCATTTCTCCTCGGGGGTAATCGCGTTCGCGGTTGAAGCGGGGAAGAGAGGACACGATCTCTCTCGAAACTTCTGACTGTATTAAGATATCTTTTACAATTTGCGAATGGAAGAAAAAGTGAAATAATTTATCGATTTTCACGTTTAATCGAATGTACAGTAGGCCAATAATGCCTTAACATATGAAATTGGTCCCATTCGAAACTAATAATAATTTAATAATAACTAATTATTGTTATATGTTAAGACATTATTGACGCCATACGTAATTCACGACGCGTCATAAGTGTTTTTTTTTATTTCTGATGAAGAGGAGGAAGATTGATTCATCTATAGAGAAAATTAATTTTTCTTGGAATTATCGATATTAAAACATGATAAATATCCTGTTACAAAAAAAAGCAAGCTACTAGAATCTTTGATTGGATAAAATTATTATTTACCGCAGAAATATCCACGTGTTAAAACAATATAATGAAATTTGAAAAGATTATTATTATTTAAATTTGAAAAATGTAATAAATGTAATAATGTCGCATGTTTTTTTTTCGATGAAGGAGGAAAATTGATTCCTCTATAGAGAAAATGAATTTCTCTTGGAATTATCGATATCGAAACATGATAAACGTTCTGTTACAAAAAAAGCAAGCTACTAGAATCTTTGATTGGATAAAATTATTATTTACCGCAGAAATATCCACGTGTTAAAACAATATGAAATTTGAAAAAATTATTATTATTTAAATTTAAAAAATGTAGTAATGATGTCGCAAATATTTTTCTTTTCGATGAAGGAGAAAGATTGATTCATTTTTAGAGAAAATTAATTTCTCTTGGAATTATCGATATTGAAATACGATAAACGTCCTGTCACAAAAAAAAAACAAGCTATTAGAATCTTTGGTTGGATAAAATTATTTACCGCAGAAATATTCACGTGTTGAAACAACGTAATGAAATTTGAAATGATGTATTATTATTACTTAAATTTGAAAAATATAGTAAATGTAGTTATGTCGCAAATATTTTTCTTTTCGATGAAGGAGAAAGATTGATTCGTCTATAAGGAAAATTATTTTCTCTTGGAATTATCGATATTGAAACAAACATCCTGTTACAAAAAAAAGCAAGCTACTAGAATTTTTGGATAAAATTATTATTTATCGTAAAAATATCCACGTGTTGAAACAACGTAATGAAATTTGGAAAGATGTATTATTATTATTTAAACTTGAAAAATGTATTATAAAACTTGAAGGAATTTACTTTGATTATAATACGTATGCAAAAAAGGCGCGCTACTTATTAAATTACTCGACTCGAGATTCTTACATAATATAACCGATCGATAATCCTATCTTGTTAAGATTTTTACTTCCGGCGGGTTTCTCGTATATCTCCGAACAATTTCTCCCGTGAAAAGACTCTGGTTATATTGTCCTCCTGTAGAAGCGCCGAGATAAAAGAAAGGTTCCCCAAGCACATTTATGGGAAACACGGGCTCGATATGTCACCGGGGAGACCTTTGAAGGTTGAGAAACTTCACGTAAAGACCAGGTCGCGCCGAGCTCATATCACAGGGCGAGGCCCGTAAAGCGTGACAGATTAATTTTTCTCGAAGTATGTATATCGATTTCAGGAAAAAAAAAAGATGGTTCGAGCAAAAGTTACAAGACTATCGACAGTAATGTTTATGAGCGACCCCGTAACGATTTTTTTTATATAAATAAATGACGGCACGGAGAGAGACGGCTTACGTCATTTCCGAGAAATGTCAATGACGAGCGCGTTTTCTCTTCAATTATGAATCAAAGTTCTTCAATTACCCGACATCCTCTTTGAATCTTAATTACTGTACCAGTCATTCAATTAAATATCGAAGGTGGATGAGGAAAGGTAATAATACATTTAATTATACAATCTCGTAAGAGAATCTAAGGCTCTTCCAATTTCCAATTATCCTTTATGAACTTTGAAAAAAAAAAAGGAAGTCAACGAGAACTCGGGTAAAGGGTTTTTTCGTCGAATGATAAACGCATACAACGAATACACTTCACTCGTCTATGTAAATTCCCAATTAATTCATTCGCTTTTATCCCGGAAGCGTAGAGGCACGTAAGCCTGATCGATAACGATGACGTAAAATAGCTTCTGCGAATTGTCGCTTATGGCAGTCTTTAAGCAGCCGATGTTGACGTTGTCAATATTAACGGAACGTTACGTTCCGCGGGGGACGCACCTGGTTTCAGGAGCGCGTCACACATTATACCGTGCGACTGATTATCAGCAAAGTTCAGCCGTCAAAGGCATCTAATTTCAACCTTAACCCTTTTCCGCCCACGTCGACGTATACGAGTTTTCCGCCCGCTCCCCCCTCCGCCCGTCCACTTTCCTTCGCATCCTCGGCATCCCTCTCGCGTAAGACCCGTCCAGATGCAATTACGCAATGTGCAGTAAAAATACATCCGTGGAAAATGTCAGTGGAACGGCTGGAATTACGTTTCAAGGATGCTGCGTCCGTTCAAAAGGTTCTGCATGCTCGCGTGAACCTCTGACACGCGCTGTCAGCCCCTGTCTTCCCCCCCCCCCCCCGACGAACGACGTTGTCTC